ACAGCCCCAGCAGATGAACCTCCAAACCAACGTTATTTAGAAGAGAGTCGGGGTGCTAGTAGAAAAAGAGGAATGTTATAAGAAAAAACTGAAGAGGTCGGCAAAAAAGCTACAGCTAATCAAACGACACAAAGCAAAATCAGATGTGTTGCATGTGAGAAATATTATTGCTTATCGTGTTTTTTCGAAGTACACGAATGTTCCTTCAAATGAAATACTCAACCTGAGATTGTAATGTTCATTTTCTATAAGATCCATAATATTCTTCATCATAATTTAGTGTTACTAGTGGTTCAATAAAAAAATTTCGTATTTCATACCCACTAACTGAAAATATCGTCTCCTGAAAAAACTAAGGGTGAAATGTACAGGCCAAATATGTGGCATAGAGCAAACGTCGATACATGCGTCTGAAATAACAAAAATAGCCGCCATACAAACGTCATATCTCGTGTATCGGTGTTGGATACATACGGCACTCAACGTGTTAATTATTGATTTCTTCATTCCATTGAGAGTTTTTATTATTATCCGCCATTCATCTCGTGTCATAGCAAATAATTTCACGGTTTCGGAAGTTTTATAGGCCTTTTGTCTTTTGAAATGAGAAAGATGCTGTTTATCTCATTCTTCTCTTCAGATGGATCTCACCAAGTTTAACCAAGTTTTCCTGGTGGGCAGAAAACCAATCAGAAAGTTAACCGTTCTGACGGTTGGAGAAGTACACCCCATCAAAGCTGGCAAAACGGTAAATTTGGCAAGGCAGTTTTGTTACAATTGGAGGATTCGGTGATATTCCTGCCGAACAGGGTGACGGGTATATTTACCTCACATTGGCGAATTCACTACAGACACATACTCCCTCATATTCCCAGGGAGAGTCTCCACAAAAAAAGCACATTCTAGAGGCATCATTTTACGTTATTCAGACTTCTTGAGTGTGAGTAATATTGAAATTTTTTTTCGAATGTATTTTCGATACACCACAATAATAATGGAAAATTTCGAACGAACTTTGACCAAAATTGATGAGACCCTTTTGTTCTTTGGAAATAACCAGGTAAAATCTATAGCCGCATTTGCCCTCAAATCTATTTATTTATATTTCATTTTAATTTACAAACTCAACAGGTTTACCCAACTACAGAGTAGGAAGATACCTTAGCTCACAATAGTTACTATTATAATATACAGGGTATTTCAAAAAAACCTAACCCCCTTGCTAGGGTAGGTAGAACATTGCAAAATAAGTTGGGTTTGCTCAGTAAAAAAATGTCGTAACGCCATCCGTTTTCAAGATACAAGGTGTTGAAACAATATTTTTTTCACACATTTTGTACGATTATGTTGAAACTACTGGCTTCATTGTGATGAAATTTTGTATAGATGTTTCTTGGAATCTGACACATCGCATGCATTTGTTTTTATATCTGACTCTCATAGAGGGCGCTAGTTACACGATTCGTACCGAGAAGTTTAGAACATAACTTTTTTGAGGTTGAATTTTTCAATCCAAATTTGATGTAAACATCATTCAATTTCACACAAAAAAGGTACTCTTGGTAAAACTCGATACTGTGTTCCGTTTTCGGAATATTTCGATTTGAAAATGATTAGGTGGTAACTGTTGTAGTATAAAGCTATGTATTAGAGAGAGTATTATGAAAAATTATCACCTATTTATTGAAAACCGAGAACAACAATACATTTCTGGTGCAAAACTCATTGATTTAACAATGAATCAAAAGAATAACATCGAAACAGATTTGAATAAGAACATGGATTACACGGTTTTGTTGTATCTTGAGCAGAAAGTCTATGCTACATAGGTAAATTCACGTCAAGAGTTGTGAGACATAATTGAACATCACTTAAATGACCTAACAGCTGATCCTCAACTGTTCGGAAGAATAATACATTCTTAAAAAAAGAATATAGAATCGTGTATTCCTCGAAACGTAGGACATTTTGAACACTTACTCTAACTGATTCAATATTTCATGTTTGTAGTCGAATATCTCTCAATTTTCTACTTATGATTCTTCGTTCCATCAATAACTTCAGCTCAAGAATAATTTTATTGTTTTTGAACCTGAATAAATAGGTAATTGAACTCAATAAAATTCATTTTATACCAGCATCATTACTTCTCTATTATTTTCAAATCGAATTATTCCGAAAACGTAACATAGTATCGAGTTTCACCAGGTGTACCTTTTTGGTGTAAAATTGAATGATGTTCAAGATCATATAATATTTGGATTGAAAAATCTAACCTCAAAAAAGTTATGTTCAAAACTACTCGGTACGAACCGTGTATCTAGCGCCCTCTATGAGAGTCAGATATAAAAACAAATTCATGCGATGTGTCAGATTTCAAGAAACATCCATACAAAATGTCATTACAATGTTGCCAATAATTTCGGAATAATCGTGAAAAATGTGTAAAAAAATAATTTTTTCAACACCTTGTATCATGAAAACGGATGCCGTTACGATATTTTTTCACAGAACAAACCCAACTTATTTTGCAATGTTCTACCTACCCTAGCAAGGGGGTTAGGTTATTTTGAAATACAATCACATTGCATTCACTTAATCAACATCCTAAATCCTAGATCTAAATCTATTCAAACTCAACGAGAAAAAATCACAAGATTGAGATATATACCATTGTATATGTTTCACACATAGTATTTGAAGGACCAACAGAGTGTACGATGAGTATCTATATAAAATGTGTTTGTTACACGTGTAGAATATGCTGGTACATTGAAGTTGATTTGTCATAGAAGACATACGTCAACCACATTGCCATGTATCAGATTATAAAGAAACAGCATACTGGAGACTATTCTTCGATTCTCAAGAGAAGATAAATTATATGATAATGTCCAGTTTCTTTGTAATGCAGAACTCGCAAGAACCCATTTTGAACTCGCTCTATAGTATATTTATGACATTCGTAATATGGATTCCATATGATTGCTCCATAATTATTCTAGTATACTTTTCACGAATGAAATATACAATATCTTTATAAAGTAAATATTTGTAAATTGTCTCGTATTACGAACAATAAATCCATACATTTTTGACGCCTTCCGTGTTGCATTTGCCATTTGCGCTCGAAATGAAAGTTCAGCATCAAATGTCACTCCCAGGTCACACATTCCAGTAACTCTGGCTAGAGTCTTCTTGCGGTTGTACGTCATCAGATAAAATTTGCTCACGTTGAAAAATAGTTCATTCTTTCTTGACCAAACATTAAATAAATCTATATTGGATTGCAGTATATCAATATCTTGGTCAGTCCTGATTGTAATACAAACCTTCAGATTAGGTTAGGCAAAGAGTAGAACCTGTGGCCCATTTATTACCTCTGGCAGGTTATTTACAAACAGAAGGAACAGAACTGGACCCAAATTAGATCCCTGAGGGACACCTGAAGTTGCGATGAACAGAATCATATCGTCTTACCAACACTTTTTGTTTTCGATTCAATAGGTATGATGCTTATAGAGACAGTAGATCATTGTGAAATCCAAATTCATATTTCAACTTATGCAGAAGTATTTTATAGGATACTTTGTTAAAGGCCCTAGCAAAATCCGTATACATGACGTCTACTTGGCCATTTTTCTCTAAGACCTCCGACAAGTATTGAGTGAAGTTATGGAGATTAGTCATTGTTGATCTTTTCTTGAAGAATTCTTGCTGAGCTATAGCTGTTAACATAGATACTTGAATATAGATTTGCTTATGAATATAATGGTTTCAAAAAGTTTAGCTGGTGCAGAAAATATAGCAATGGGTCTATAGTTTTTGATATTAGATTTGTTACCTTTTTTCAGGACAGGGCAGATTTTTACTTTCCTTCCAAGTATCAGGAAAAGTATTGTTTTTCAAACATAGGTGAAATATTATTTTTAGCGGATATTGAAGAAAATTAATAATTAATTTTTGAAAACACTAGGCGGAAGAATATCAGGGCCGACAGATTTTTTTAATTTTCATGGAATTTGCTGCTCTTCATCTATTTCATTAGCAATATTCTTTTTACCTTGTTACATTCTCACTACTAAGATCAATTGAGTTAGAAGGAGGTGAGACGGATCTGAGTAGTCGATTGAATAAAAAGAACACGTTTTTATCTGTCAGGAAGGGCAAGGGAAGAAAACACAACCCAACATAATTCAACCAAAATGTATAATGACTGAGGAAATTAATGAGGAGCATAGAAATATTATTGTAGAGACTAGTAGAGAGTATTCAAAGGATTCAACCTGTGAACCGAAACTTCAAAGCTGAAAGCATGTCAAAATTAAAATATAACCTCACAATTTTCAGCACAGAACCACAGAATTACTAGAATTAATCCAGTCTCACCTTTTTCTCACTACAACACCAGATGAATAGCAAGCTCAGTTGGGGTGAGGGGAAAGAAATAGTCTCAATAAGTTCTTAAGACAACTCACATCAGACTAAGATAAATGAAACATGTAATACAACTGAGCTATTGAGCTGCACTGAGAATCTTGGTTCATCTCAGTCGAAGTTGGTAAAAAGAATATTACTAATGTGTGGCTACTCATCATGTAAATCAACTCTATTGTACACAGAGCCAAAGTATGAGGCAAAAACATCGGAAATGTCATTACCATCTGTATACTCGTTACCATCGAGCTCCATATTGGAAGGTATACCAGAACCTGATTTGTTGTTGTTTACAAATTGCCAAAAACCCCTTGAATCATTTAAAATTCCCCTTTGTATTTTATAGAGATATCTATCATATGCAACATGTATATCGTTTTTCATTTCAGATCTTAGTGCAATATGTCTGTTTCTAGTTTCCTGGATGTTATTTTTCTGCAATGCTTTCCTCAGTTTCTCCTTGAGCTTTATATCATTAATTATATCTATTGATCCACATATCAAAAAATGCAATTCAGATTGCGTTGTTTGTGTTGTGTTGTTTTTGTGTTAAATGCTGCAAGATGGACAAAAACGAGCTGTTGCCGCACCGATACAAACTGTGTTGCGTTATCATGCACTTGAGCTGCACCATGGCCTCGAGACACATCGCCTATGTGAAAGCCAGCAATCCGTCCATCGACTACTTCAACTTCCCCTGCGAAAGCATCGATTGTTGCGGACTGCAGATGTACAAAAACGTTCTGGTGCGAACCGCCAACGATAACTCTGTGGAAGAAAAAAGGCAGCACGGAAGACATGAGGCTGGAGTGCAACGACGAAAACCTCAGACCCATCTCCACAAAGAAGTTCGTGGACTTGTCGGGCTCCAAGCCAAACTCTTCGTCGACCCCTATCTGCTGTTTTAAACGAGATTGTGATGTTTGTTTACTTCATGATAGTTTTATTTATTGTTAGTTTATAATTTTTGTAATATCTAGATATTGTCTATCGAATGTGTAAGTATGTTTATAAATATTTACATTCAGCTGTGAGAAAATTCAATTTGCAATTAGACAAAAAAGGAAAATTCAAAATAAGATAGATAAGCTCAAACGAACGAGGTTCTTCATCAAAACATCAAATAAACAACATAATCAGCGTCGTCATGTCTGCTCAGGTTTAAGAAAACGTGCAGTTTGTTCAACGTAAATTCTGCATTTAAATCGAGAATTCAAACAGGGCTTATTATCAATTTAAATCATAATGAAATCATAAACTTTCTGGCAGACTCCTCCAAATTATTTGAGACAGAAACTCTGAGAATTGAAATATTTCAGAGGAACGAATTTGGAGAAGTGGTTCAAAATTAATTGTATCGATATAGTTCTAAATAAATTGAGCGAATTCGCCAGAAAAAATAGCGGGTGGGCGTTGAGGGATAATTTCTTAGGAAGTTGCGACAAATAAATATGAAATGGGAAATTGAGAAGCGGGCTTGCATCAATGTGAGAAATAATAATAATGCATGCTTCTACTGGAGCATAGTCAGCGCTTTATATCCAATAGTGAAAAACTTCCAGAAATTATAAAATTAAGTGTTGGATACAATAGGATCAGATATACCAATTGAACTATGTCAGATTGTAAAATTTGAAAAACTTAATGATATTTCCATTGATGTTTATGGTTTGGAGTTGATAATTATCAAAAATAATATATTTTATACAGTGGCACCTATCGGAAAAACCAAGCATAAATTTAATAGATATGTTAATTTATTATTACTTCAAGATTGATATTTTTCTAAATTATATTATCCCAGATATTGCCACCAACCTTTTAAAAGGCAGTATTACAGTTTTCTACTTAACAGGTATTTGGTGAGTTTTATGGTAGATGGCATTAGGTTCCTATGTTTATCATGGTTTGTTATGATAGAATCAGTGTTTACCTAGCTGTGAACTGTTGTGTTGATCTTGAAATTTTTGGTGTTTTATGTACACACTTGAAGCTCATTGAACATGAATAATCTAAGGTGAGTGTAAAAAGTCATATAATCAACATTTTATTCCAGAAATAGACTAAGAAATATCTATATTTTCTACCTATAATTATGGTTAGCGAATTTTTTTTCTATATTATTGTTATTGTCACCGTTTTGAACCGATCCTTTATAAAGGATTGTGGCAAGATGGGGTGTTGAAAGTTAATAAATAAATGTTTTACAGTTTTTGGAGAAAACCACTAACGTTACATGAGATGCTTGAAGAACTTGATAATTCTGATGAAGAAAGAGATATACCAGATGGAATTATAATTTTTCCACCAGATAATGCGAATAATGAGAACACCGATGAAGACTCTGGTGAAGAGGATATCTTTGAAATAAATAATTTGTCAGGAAGTCAACTCAGAGCGGAAGTGGAAATAATAAATGACTCTCAGGAATTGGACAATATGGTAGAAACTTCTGATAGCGAAGACAATTTGCCATTATCACATTTTGTGAAACGAAGGAAGAAACAGAATGAAAATGTAAAAAATCGTATATGGACGAAAAGGGACATAAATCCTGTTTTACCAATGTGGATTGATGTTGTTGCACCCAAAAACTCGATGTCACCTGTAGAATCGTTTCTACAAATCTTTGATGACGAAGTTTTCGATATGCTTGTCGAGAATTCCAATCTGTACGCTGTTTCACATAATCGATCAGGAGATATTCAACCAGATGAAATGAGATGTTTTGTAGGAATTCTATTACTTAGTGGATATGTTTGTCTTCCGAGGCGGGAACTTTATTGGGAAAATTCCGATGATACTTGCAATAAGGCTGTTTATGAAGCTATGTCCAGGAATCGCTTCCGATTCCTCATGCAAAACATACATTGTAATAGGAATGATCAACTCGATGCTGCAGATAAGTTTTTTAAGATGCGTCCTCTGTTCAATATTCTGAATAAACGGTTCATTGATCTCGCACCAATAGAGGAATGCCATAGTATCGATGAATCGATGGTACCATATTTTGGTCGACATGGTACCAAACAGTTTATACGTGGAAAACCTATTAGGTGGGGGTATAAATTCTGGTGTGGTACAACCCGCTTAGGATATATTGAATGGTTTGAACCATATCAAGGTTCCTCCACCATATTGCCAGAAGAGTTCAAGAGTCTAGGCCTAGGTGCCAGTGTGGTACTCCAATTCTCCAATGTTATCCAAAATAGTCATCCAGATATTCCATTCCACCTTTATTTCGATAATTTTTTCACGTCGTTGAAATTGCTAGAGGAACTGAAAGTGCGTGGTATCAAAGGAACAGGGACAATGAGAGAAAATAGAGTGGGAAAGGACTGTAATGTTGTACATTCTAAAATCTTGAAAAAGAAGGACAGAGGATCTTTTGAATATATGTTAGATGTATGTAGTGACTATGGCTTCCAATTGTTCGACTGTTTTTCCATTAGCACAAGTGAAAAGATTTTGACAAAAAGAAAAAAAACTATTTATGTTGAACAACCACATTGTATACAAAAATACAATGAAAATATGGGGGGAGTAGACAGGGCTGACCAGAACATCAGTCTTTATAGGACATCTATCAGAGGAAAGAAATGGTATTTTCCACTTTTCAGTCATTGCGTTGACATGGCAGAACAGAATGCATGGCAACTTTATCGTTATAATGGTGGAAAATTGGATCATTTAGGATTCAGACGTAGTGTTGCTCTGGGAATTTTGGAATGCTTAAAAAAAAACACCAAAAGAGGACCTTCAAGAATGCAAGCTAATGCACATGCATATTCGAGATATGATGGAAAAGATCATCTGATAGTATACAGAGAGAACCAGACAGTTTGTGTACAGTGTCACAAAAAAGCAAAGTTTGCGTGCCAGAAATGTAATTTGACATCACATCCTAAAATGTGTTTTATTGCTTTCCACTCAAAATGATACTTTGTAACATTTTGAGCAGTTATATTATGAATATTTTTGATCCTAATACCCAAATAAAATTGTTTCTTTTTAATTTTAGATAAAATAGTTTTTTTTTTCAAAAATTGTTCGTTCAAATTGCCACCATCCTTTTAAAAGGCTGCAGTTTTTTTCCATAGTGAGAAGAAAAATACCTGAATCATTTTTGTGAGAATACTCACTTGACTATTTAAGACCAATTTAATGACATTTTCGAACAGAATTGAAGAAAAAATAGTTTCGGCAATATCTGGGTTATTATGAGGCTCCTCATAATGAAGATATTTCAAATAATTCCCACTACTGCTGGATGAAGAACTCATCACGTTCGATATCCAACCACGTTAACACTTTCACTGCGCATGACACGGATTCGTGTCGCCTTTACCACCTTACATCGTCCTCGATTACGAACACAGCACTGGTTGTATCTGCACAGATAATCGTGAGCGTGTAGGATAGGCATGAAGAATTGAAACTCCTTTAGCCGCGTCGAGACTTCAAAGCCATTAGTAGTTCAAAATGGCGGAAGATAGGGCAGGGCCCTCAATATCAAAAAAAACTTGAACTAACATAAAGAGATTCCAATAAATTGACTGGAAGTGAGCTTGAGGCTGCAGTGAACTTGCCAAGTAGTAGTGAAGATTTAAATACTTGAGTGATAGTGGTCAATATATTTACTAGCAGGGTGACTCAGATACGGACGAGGATGATACGGACGAGGATGATACGGACGAGGATCAACTAGGTTAGTTGAATTTCTCTACATGTTTATCTGGTATTTCATGTTCTGATGGGTGGGTAGGCAGTTGACTTATGAGGTAACTTTCATTGCAGTCATCAAATTTTCGATCTAACCTCGAATCTGAATACAACGCCGGGGAATTCCATTGCTGCAAATTAAAGTCCGAATACTACTGCACAATGGACTGCTGTATCTAGAAGAATGATGGATTTCCCATTTACAAAACAGAATGATCTTCTAGTGCCGATTCCTGGCGCAAATCAACTCATTGACTATTTTCGTATGTTTGTTGACGATGATCTTCTATATTTGATTGTCAACGAAACCAACCATTACGCAGAAGAATTGTTCTGTTCCGAAGGAACCCGAGAAAAATCACGAATCTCACGATAGAAATGTCTTACACCTGATGAGCTCCTAACATTTTTAGCGTTGGTTATTCGTACAGGAACCATAAAATTGAACAAACTGCAGGATTATCAGAAAAGTCATCCACTTCTCAATCTAAAATGCTTTTCCTCGCATGAGCCAGGACCGTTTCCGTATTTGGCGTTGCTTACATTTTGCGAGAAATCCAGCTGACGGAGAGAACAACGATGATCTATTATAGGAACAAAATTCGACCAATTTTAAACTTTTTCAATCGCAAAATTTCTGAAACTTATTATCCTGACAAAGAACTGTCCCACGACGATTCCATGGTTTCATGGCGCGGGCGTTTGGTATTGCCTCATTATATAAACAATAAGTGCCATGAATATGGAATTAAGCTAAACATGTTGACAGAACCCAGTGGTATTATTCTAGAAACATCTATTTATACAGGAGCACTTGATGATAGTGGCGAAAAGGGCATATGGCTGTGTGTCAAGATGCTGATTGTACATTAGAAACAGTCACATAAATAATTCTACAACTTGCTATGAAGTCTGCTTTCTTGACTTTGAAAACAACCCTATCTCCGTACTTTTTAAAGAGCATAATCTAGTGGTTCACTATGAAGCGATAAATCGGGCATGTGATTATGACGTCTCTGTATCCTCGACATACCGGTGTTGGGGAGCGAGGAAGTGCACCTCAGCATTATGTAACCCCCATGAGATCCAAGATTATGCCGGTTCATCTGCTACTCATAATAACTCCGTAAGACAGGACACTGGGTGCGAAAAACAAGGTAACTGCCCTGGTTATTGCAGCTACACG